ATGCCCACAACAAAAGGACAGGTACGTATTTAGCGATTACAGTAAATATGCAAGTGTTATAATGCCAAATGAGTGTGAAATCATGAAGTAAGCATTTTGTTTTTTGGTGGACAGTGATAGTTGTGGAATGTTTGTCTTGAAGATGGCCGAGTATTTGATGATGGGTATAAATGTTGAGTTCGTGAGACCAGAAGATATGAATGCATACCGAATCAAGATGACTACTGAGCTGCTAGTACATTTCGGTATTATAAAGGCTTAAGCTTGAAAAACTGATGAACCAAGATTGTTATGTTACGATTACAGTGCTGTAATGTTTTGTTTTGGAATGGTGGATTTCTTTAGAACAATTTAAATGTGTTATTTTGGAATGGTGGATGTTGTTAGAACAATTTAAATGTTAGAGGTTGGATGTCAAATTAATAAGTACCATGATTTTGTGTTGTGTTAAATGAGGGCAGTAGTTTTCTTTTATGTTTATGATATTATGCTTAGAGTGGAAATCGCAGATTAATGCCCTACTGCAACAAGTGCACATTATGGCCTACATCATTTTCCATAATAATGCCCTGATGCAATTGCCCTGAAACATTTCAATACATGCTAGGCCTGAACAAATCCCACTTGTCGCGTGTTGCCTAGTAACTCCCAACACCAAAATCTGTATCAAATTTATTTCCGTTTGTTACTCATACATGACATACACATAAACATCATAACATCACATATGTGTAAGAGGCCCACTGATGATGTGAGTTTGAGATATAATTAATATCTTTAAGGCAGTACATTAACGAAATGATACTCAGTCTGAGAAAATTGAGACAATAACATAATTAATATATCATAACAGTAATCCCTAATATTAGATTTAAGGAAATAAATTAGCAATGAATAACGAAGCGCCATTCATTCATAGCATTAAATTAACAATGAATAACAAAGTGACTGAATAAAAGTACGACAAAGTGCATTGCAATGAAAACGACAAATAATTAAAAACATGTTTTAACGCATATGTAGCGGAATAGGATTCCTACAAGTCTTTCTATTGTGTCCAACCATGAGGCAACGAGTGCATTTTTGTCTTTGAACGTGTTCTCCTGTAGAAGGAATTCTTCTTTTCTTCGGCCTTCCAGGAGGTCGTGATTCACATGATGGGGGACGGCAAGTAATTTCCTTAACATGTGAAGGTACCATCCAACCATCCGGACTCCCAATAGGATGAATAATAGCACGGTATGTTTGTTCCCAATGATGTGCTGTATAGAATTCTGAAATGTAATCGTAGCAAGAAAGTCCTGGGCGAGAGCGAATAGCTGCAACGGCATGTACACATAAAAACCCATCTAGCTGAAATTCCCGACAAGTGCACGTCCGCTCCTTCAAGTTGACAACATAAGAGCGGGATCTCTTATCAAACACCTCAAACTCAAAAACGCATGATGGTTTTACCTGCACAATTTATTATTACACATTAAAAACTATAATTAAATATTGGAAGGAATAACAATAATTTAATAGCACATGAAGTTAGTATATTTTTTAAAAAATCAGTGCAATGAAGACAATGATTAGAGGGCAATACTCTCATGACGGCTGCCATAGCTTGTAAAACTGCTAGTTCAGATTCAAAGTGTGCTGATAAACGGCAATTGTTTGATGCTGAAGATTCTCGCCGTTCACAAAACCACTTTTGCATTCGTCCAATAATAAACTCTATCAACTTACATATTGGGTATTCTCGGGCAGTGGCATTGACTGCATTTAATGACTCCGCATTGTTTGACATCATGACCGAGTACCGATTTCGACTAGCATAAGCACAAGACCATTTGTGGTGGCCCATCCGCTCTAAATACGTACGAATGCGTGGATCCTCACTATCCAGCATTTGAAGGTACTCTTCACACTCATACACAGATCCATCACGAGCAGCCTGCAAAAACTTCCATGACACAGTTTTTTGAGTGCCACGAAATCTTGTTTTCAAATTAGCCAATATGTGGTACACACAGTAACCATGCTCCGCATGAGGAAATACAGAACGCACAGATGTAATAATGCCCTCATGCCGATCAGAAACAATATATAGATCATCCCTATGCATTAGCGAATGCTTCAACATGCTGAAGAACCATGACCAATTTTCAGTATTTTCTCCACTACAAATACCGAATGCCAATGGAAATATTTGTTTGTTTGCATCTTGTGTACATGCAGTGAGTAATGTACCCTTATAATACGACTTCAAAAAAGACCCATCCACAATTATAACCGGAATGCAATTAATCCAACCTTCCCTCCATGCAGAAAGGCACATGAAAAAATTATGAAATTCACCATTTTCCTTGCACGAATAAGAAACTATAGAACCTGGGTTACTCCTTTCAAGCACATGGCACATTGAAGGTAAGAGTGCATATGAATCCTTTTCGGATCCCATAGCCAGTTCCATTGCCAATTCTTTGGCAATCCATGCTTTTTTGTATGACATGTAAATGCCGTATTTGGTCTGCATATCAAGCATAATTGATTTTGGAGGGTATGGCTTATTGGATGCATCACCGTACTCATGTTTGATAAGTTCGGCAATAATCCTGGACGTAGCCTGACGGCTATTTCGTTGACGTATATCAATGGGGCATGTGTGCTCAGAGTCAAATCTGGAAAAAATATTTAATGACGGGCATTAATTTATGGGCAGTGAAGCAATTTATGGAAAATTTTAGGGGGAGGGGGGGACACAACATGTATGACGAAAACAAACAGTAACAAGTAAAGAATATTTTTGGGAATATGTTGATATAATTAGGCAATATACTGAAAAATCATATGAATAGCGTACATAATAATATAGTAGTGCAAAGAGGGCATTAAAAACATAGCACACGGTGCATTGTGCGATGTGGCATTAAGTAAACTTTCAAGCATTATATTGTATTAAATGTAAATGCACAGAGTGAATTAAACATGTCGTTAAAAGAATACTCTTAGCATACAATCAAATTTATAATGCAAACGCAAGGGCATTGCAGCCTATGAACATAACTTACTGCAAACGCAGGGCATTGTAAGAGCTGAGTACAGGGCATGAAAGCATATGTCCGACTTACAATACTGATTTCATTTTCCTTATACATTTTTTTTAAAACAACAAAACAGTGACACAACAAAAGAACATCATAAGGCCATTGATTTTGCATCGTGGACAATTCAAATATTTGTTTTTTAATAATACACGTTAGGGCAGTAATAGACATGCATGTCATGTAACTTGGAGAAATGACTGCATACCTTTTCACTTGAAACAGTGACACTCCGTCAATGCACACACCACGCACAGCCCACTTGCAGTCAGGGTCAACACACACAACATGCAAAACCTTCGGGCAAGATGTCTTCGTTCTATACTGAAAGAAGTTGGTAATCACATACATCTTTAAGTGAAAATCAAGTTCCTTCTTGCTTCCATAGATGCTATTCAATGCAATGTGTGTGGGTTCAGAATGGTTGAGAACATGCATATTATGAATCTCTTCATCAACCTGAGAATTTAAGCTCATAATTTCAGCACTCGAAATATGGTCAAATTCAATGTCCATACAAATATTGTGACTGAAATTATTGTCTTGTTCACTAAAGTCACCAAACTCTTCCGGATTACTCGGGTGGTTAATTCCACTTGAATTGTGGATATCATCACATACTGTGGTGCTTTGTTCCTCTCCAGTCGTAGCATCACATACAAATTCAACACACAACGGCATTTGCATCGGGTCCTTTTGAAAACTCTTCAATTGTAGATAAAAGTGTAGACCATCATCATCACATACATTAACGGGAGGTGGGCAGGTAGTAAAAACGTATGAAATCTTAATATTCTTCCCGGCATAATTCTCACCAATAGCAGCGCAAACACGAGAATATAGAGAATCATACGTACAATTTGAAGGTATAGTTAAACCGGCAACGTGAATACTAGAGAACAAAGTATTTGAAACCCATTGGCCATCATATTTTATCATAATCCACACTTCCGGGTAACCTACTGGGACAGAATCCATGAATACTGCTTCACTTCAAAGATGAAATGATTGCCGGTGAAATGATAGACGTGAGGCCGGGAGGATGAACACACAGTTCGTAAAAGATGAATATATTTACCGGATACATTCACGTTCAATTAATTATTTCCGTATGTATCGGAATTTCCCATTAATAGTGCGGCAGTTATCCGGAAAGGTAGTTACTATACCGTTGATCATGCTCCAGTACAATACGTCGGAATTTCCCATTAATAGTGCGGCAGTTATACGTCGTTCAATTAATTAAATGAAAGGATGCAATTGGTATTAAAAAAAATAAAACACACGTGGATGAAAGATGATGATGTCCGGTCATGTATTAGGATAAATGATGAAGGCAGTCATACATTGGGAACTACGTGATGTTTTACTTATATACGAGATAAATTTCTCTAAATTTTATTTATTATGCTTGTAGAATGGATTATAACAAGGATGTATGTTTTGTTTAATTATTTTCTGGGTTGTTAGACATATGCATTACTTATATTACTAAAAAATTTAATTTCTAGTTTGACGTTTCCTTGCCGTACCCGTTTCCTAATATTTTGAGTTTAGCGTTTCCCCATCCCCGTTTCCATCCCCGTTTCCGTTTCCGTTTCCGTCCCGGTGTTACTTAGCTGAAAGGTGATGTAAGTCCTGCTGGATTCATCCTTTGGAGCCAGTACTGACGAGGCTGACTGTGATCAGATCCGGATCTAACTGTCTAGGGGTTTTGGAGGATAGTTCATACACTACACAACGTAAGCCCCGACATCCGAATTATCAAAAAAACGAAGTACGGTTGTATTACTATATGTGAGGCGACCTACGTGCTCTCTAATGAGCAAGTAATGTGTACTTTACAATTTCCTGTTGACATTACTCCTTTTTATATCAACGGAAGTTTGACTCAGTTTGAGACATCAGCGACTGATCACGTTTTTTGTTTTGAATCAATCATTTCACACAATAGAGGTAGATATCTCTGAACTTCTTTTTATTTAAATCATTGTTTACCAACTTTAAATAAAGTATAGGTCCTCCACTCTTCCCCTCCAACGCCTCAATGTCGTCGTTTGCTTCTGAATCTTAGAGCTATTAATAGTACAGTACTCAGGTAAGAAGAATAAAATGTCTTGCGATACCACCGACAATGGCGATAAGGTGCCGTTATTATCCTCCGACATCCAACGCAAAAATAGCGATCCTCTTGTATACGAGGAACAACTGTCCGAGAAAAACTTGTCACAGAGGTTTTGGATCGAATCAAAGAAGCTATGGCAGATTGTGGGCCCCGCCATCTTCAGCCGCATAGCTTCTTATTCCATGTTCATCATCACCCTGGCATTCGCCGGCCATCTCGGCGATTTGGAATTTGCAGCCATGTCCATTGGCAGTAATGTCGTCGTGGGCTTTGATTTCGGTCTGATGGTAGGTGGATGTTTTAATTCGAAATATGAAGTAATGAAGTGATATATAATTTTTGTAATTTATTTTGAAATCAGTTGGGAATGGCGAGCGCTCTCGAGACGCTATGCGGGCAAGCATTCGGGGCGAAGAAGTACAACATGTTGGGAGTATATCTGCAACGGTCGTGGGTGGTTCTATTAATATGTTGTGTTGCGACGATGCCGCTATACATATATGCAACGCCATTACTAAAGCTTTTGGGGCAGCCCGATGATGTCTCAGAGCTTTCAGGCGTGGTGGTGATGGCTTTCATTCCCCTACACTTCTGCTTCGGGTTACATTTCCCGCTGCAGAGGTTCTTGCAGAGCCAGCTAAAGAATTCAGTGATTGCTTGGGTGAATTTGGTGGCATTGATTGTGCATTGTCTGGTGAGCTGGTTGATTGTGTCCCGGTTTAGGCTCGGAGTTGTACCCATCGCCATGACCTTGAACTTCTCTTGGTTCGTTATCTTATGTGGGATGTTTGGCTATGCCATCTGCGGCGGATGCCCCCTCACCTGGCCCGGTTTTTCCGTCCAAGCTTTCTCTGGCCTTTGGGATTTCTTTAAACTCTCGGTTTCTTCAGGAGTTATGCTTTGGTATGCTGATATGCTCTCTTTTTCAAAATAATTTTTTTTAGTATAAGACTATAAGACAAACATTAAATCAAAGTAATTAGAGACAAAATATTATCAGAATAAAATTTAATACAAAAATATGACTCAAGTTATTATGAGTTACTTTAATAATCATCTAGATGTAAGATTAAAAAATGTAATCGTAGCTATTAAAAAGTGACTAAGAGCCTATTTGATAAAACTAGAATCACTTGAATCTCATGTAATCGTAGCTATTAAAAAGTGACTAAGAGCCTATTTAATTATCATTTTCCAGTATGATTTTCTTTAATTAATTTTGTAGTTTTTTTATTTCTTTCTCTCTACCCAAATTAAACCTCGCCAACAAAATACTCCGTATTTACTAAAGAATTTACAATCTCCAATGTGACAGAAAGGTCAGAGTACTCATTCTTGTAAGGATTATATCAAACTACGACACTTGATAATTAAGTAAAAAATAAACATGGCATATTAATTTAAAACTATTATAAATGATTCAGTTTTTTTGAGGCTATATCTAGATTTCTCTAGATTTAATTTTGTAGAGGCTGGTAGAGATTCTGTATTTACGATCAACATTAAGTAAATATTCTAGATTTGTTTCACAAGCTCCGAGTTCAAATAGTTGCTTAACTATTGCCCCTTCCGTCCCCTATAATTGTCCCATTTTTCCATTTTTGGATGTCTATATTATTGTCTTATACCACATTTGGTAACATTTAATTATGTGATTCTCATTCGTTCTTACTTTACTCTCACTTTATCAAATCATTATTAAGTACATAATTTTATTTTTCTTTAAAACCACATCACTCCCTTCCGTCGTCCCAATATTACGGGGAAGGTGGTAGTATATGAGTACGAGTTATGTTTGAGGAAAACCGTTTGGAAACATGCATGATCTCTATAGAAGTGAATTCAATGTATCCTCTAAAATAACCATTATCGAAACAAATCATATTGCATTCATCTTGATTTACTTAATAAATTAAAATAAGCTTAATAATTATCAAGACAACTTTTCTATATATTCAGACAATAAAAATACTTAACAATGATTAGCTGTGTAACTTTTGTCTCAAAGCAGTCACACTTGGGAGGCTACCATGTACTAGTATTATACTATCGTATATCGGATAAACGATTCTTTTTTGAATTGAGTATTGGTCAACAACTCAAAATATGAAGTTAATTTCTACTCCCTCCGTCCCATAATTAACTTCAGTTTTGACTGGGCACGAGTATTAAGATAGTGGAATTTGTGTGGTGGAGAGTTGTGCAGAGGAGAGAAATGTGTAAGAATGATTATGAATCACATATTCTTTATCAAAAAGGAAAGAAGAGATAAATTTGGAACGGACCGAAAAGGAAAGAATGAAGATAATTTCGGGACGGAGGGAGTATTATTTGTGGCTAACTTTATACGGAGTGCATATCTTCCTTCATGTACAGCTTGGAGAATTGGTACTACAGAATTCTGATAGTGATGACAGGCAACTTGAAAAATGCTGAAGTTGCTGTCGATGCGTTGTCTATATGGTAAGAATATTGTCACATAGAAAAACATTTAATTTAGGGTGTGTTTGTTTGTTGATTTTTGGGAGGGAGAAGAAGACATCTAAGGGTTGATATGATGGCCCTCCTATTTATGTTTGGGACTTTGAGAATGTGAAGGAATGACTTTGAAAGTTTTTGTGATCCTCCAAAACCACTCAAGGTAGAGCTCAATATTTAAGTTTCTCCAAAATAAGGTTTTGAAGGATAACTTAAATGATAATATAAGCTTAATTTAAAATGAATATCAGTTCAATTATTTGAATTCATCATATCTCAGAATTGATTCTTAATTATAATTCCATCTAATCATCTCTTTCCAAAATTACTACACTCAAATAAAAAGTATGATTTCCTCACCTTCACGACCATTTTTTTCTCCAACAACTTATAACCTTCAAATTCTTCTCCCCCTTTCCCCTAAACTCTCAAACATACCCTTAGGGAATGTTTTGGAAATAGGATTAAATAGGTTTTGGAATTCGAAAGTAGGACTACTAGATTTTTCTTCTCGAAATACAAGTACTATGACAATATTTGCTGCCTTTTTAGAGTCATTACTGCCAAAATAGATACAGTACTCGACATTAACATGACTGTATTTACTATCATCAATGATAATATTTTTCAATCATGGCAATAATGACTTTTATTTTGAGAAGAAAAAAATAACAGTTCTATTTTGGGATTCCAAACCCGTTTACTCCTATTTAGTGCTATTTACCAAACATTTATTAGATCATGTCATACTAGACCAAAACTAAACTAAAAAATGGGAATTTATATCCTGGACAAAGCCCCACTTGTTATTTACTAGCTTATGATTAAATTCCAACTTACATTCTCTCAAATAACAGTGTTATTTACTAGCTTATGATTAAATTCCAACTTACATTCTCTCAAATAACAGTCCGACTGGTACTGCGAAGCCCTCAAGGATGTGATGTCATCCCTTTTAGACCAAAATCAAACCAAATTTGAGTATATTGAATATTGACATGCTGTAATGATATTAACCAAATATTGGTGGCCTTGGGTTAAATTTTTGCAGCATGAGCATTAATGGATGGGAAGTGATGATTCCACTTGGATTCTTTGCTGGAACTGGGTTAGTACCTCTATTTTACTGGATATTTTAAGTACAGCTTCTTTAGAAAAAATTAGTACTCCCTAATTGTCTTGTATAAAAATGAACGTACCAAAAAATTAACTTTTATTTTCTTTCCATATATTGTCGATCTATGTTTTGGGAAGTCATTGTGGATCTATGTTCAGCCGTTTAGGTTGAAGAAAAATAGGTGCCCCATTTTGATACCTCATTTTGGGATGCCTCATTTGTACATCCCTCTATTGCGTGGCTCAAATAGGATAATTCATTAAAGTGGAGCAACTTTAAATGGTCGTCTCATTTGAACCACACAAAGAATGTGGTACAAATGGGGTACCCCAAAATAGATACACCAATCATACCTCTAGATAGGTTGAAAGCATGACTACCCATGTCATTTCGTGAAATAATTCTGAATTTCTAATTATAGTGTGTGACGTTCATCTGAGTAACTTCGAACTAAATCAAGATCGTTTCATACTTTTTATTCATTCTTGGATTCACCCCATTTTAAATAACTTCTCTTGTTCGTTTTAGTAGAAGTTTTAAGAAAGTGATTGAAAATGTAAAATTTGTGATTCACATTTTAGTAGAGAGTAATGAATAAATACAAGTCACATACTATTGTCAAAAAGAAAAACAAGACAATTATTTCACGAAGGAGAATACTAAAATTTGAAAATTTACATATTTTAACTTTACTAAAAGCTAGTTAACGTCAAATATATAAAAAAACTACTTTGAGTATGGTAATAAAAATGATATATACAATCAGATTTTAATATTTATATAGGAAATGAGATAATTATCTGTTTACACTCGGTACTAATTTGCAAAAGTTAATTCTCGCATTTTACGATTTACAACTTTAGCTTAAATTTAACTAACATCTATCAATGTAAATTATTGTTAACTTAACTATCTATCACTGTAGAGTGTAGAGCCATGGGTGATTTCCCAATATAGGGAAAAGGCCAAATGGAGTGCCAAAATACGAGACTTTTTCTAGGGTTTCTCAAAATAAGAGAGTCGGAGGTGGCAAAATATTTATTTTATAACATTGAAATATAATTTCGAAAAAAAATCCAAAAGAATAGTAGTCAGAAGTGGCCTTTCCGACAAGGATTTATCAAAAAATTGTGGGAATACAATTTTGTTTATGCCTCAGTCGGAATGGTGTATTCCAAGTAAGATTTTTATCTTTAATTCAAAATTATCTTTACCATTTTTATACCCAGATTATTAGTTTTTTACATATTACATCTTGAGAAGTTAAACACGTGGACTAGTTTGAGCCTTATTGTTATTTTTAATCTACAAATCATAATAACTTTTTTATTAATTATCTGTTTTTTTTAAAATCAAATTATATAATTTTTCATGATCTTCCATATGTCACCAATATTGTATATGTAATTTTTAAATAAAATTATCACATGACTATACTAACGGTTACTTCCTCCGTCCCACTAAGATTGTCTCACCTTTCTCTTTTAGTGTTTCCCATTAAAATTGTCTCAAATCTAATTTGATAAAATTTATGTTGTTTTAAATCATTCTTACATTATTCTAATTTATCGATTCAATATCAATTCAACTATATACACCCACTTTTATTAATACTCGCACTGCCTTTTCATATCTGAATGTTAGTGTGGTGGAGCTATGGAGGTAGTACTAGATTGTACGAAAATACTGATTGAAGAGCAAACACATAATTGGTAGGTTGCATGATGTGCACTTTGTCGTGGTGTGCACTCAAAATAATAAATACAATACAACACTTATACATAGTATAGTGTAGTAAGGTTCGTATCCACGGGGAAAGGAATATTTCTCTTTTACGTAACTAGTAACAAGAGGGTTTTAAGTTTGATTTGATTTAATTTAATTAACACTAAGATGAACGACTTAAATGAGTTTAATTAATAGAGATGAGGACTTGATTTTGCTTTTATCTACTTAATGAAATGTTTGTTGATCCCGGTTATATCTTTAACTATCTTCTTCTTGAATACTCAATCGAGAAGTATCTCCATTTCATCGAGGGTGGTTATTAATAACGAGTCGCGTTCATTAATAAAACTTACTACCAAGTCAATATAGAACACGCGCCGTATATTAACCCTATAGTAGCAATAAACTTAAGATGAAAACGATTGAGATTGATAACCTCAACACAAGCGGTTTATTGGTTTAATCAATATAATTAATTCCCCTTAGATTATTAACCATGAGACGCATTCATTAATAATCCAAATTTACTACCGTTGAAAGAACCGAATTAATAACAAGCGTATTAATCGATTAATTCTAGTAATAATTAATATATAAAACAAAACTAGTTGATCCTTTAAGTAATGTTCAAAATATTAAAGTGAAATATGAATTAATTAATATTCAAGGAACAAGATTAAATCAAATAAATTCTACCATAATTAATGTCGAGATATTAACTCATTGTCATCTTAGCAACACTCCCCAACAATTAATATAGAGATAGATTAAAGGAAGAATCAATATTCAAGGAAGAAGATTAAAGGAAATAACTTACAACTCATTAAGCTTCAAAGTAGCAAAACCAAGATGGAAAAGTTTAGCTCCTCATTTGGAGACTAAACATGATGAAAATATAAAGAAAGAACTTGTCTAAATTGAGCTTAGAAGTATATGTGAATTGGTCTCCTTTATTGTGAAGGAAAGGGGTGTATTTATAGGGTTTTGGGAGCTTTAGGGTCTGATACCCGACCGGGTATATAGGATACCCGATCGGGTACCTTAGATAATCGGAAGTCGCTGAAATCACATCCAACCCGACCGGATTGAGTACCAACCCGACCGGGTTGGGAACAAAATCTGATTTTCCATGACCTTTTTATCTTCAGCACATTACTATGTTTGATGTCAACTCCAACCCGACCGGGTTGAGTACCAACCCGACCGGGTTAAGTATCAAATCGTATATTTTCAACGTTCTCTTGATCTTCGACACGTGCTTTTGTTCTTGTCAAGTCTGCCCGACCGGGTTTTGTTCCAACTCGACCGGGTTTCGGCGCGTAGCTTCATCTTAGCTTCATATGTCACTTCCAACCCGACCGGGTTGTGTTCCAACCCGACTGGGATTTTTACCAGAATTTATTTCCACCATTCATCTTGCCTCCCTTTGGTACCTATTATACTACCTTGCATCCCTTATGGGTACTTACAACCAAATACATACTAAAAATACAAATTACAACCTATAAAATAAATCTAGAGAGTGCATCACAAACTAAACTAAACAATTGAAAATAACAATCAAACAATACTAAAAACAACCAACTTACGCACTAGGAAATAGTGCATACCATTGCACGAAAAACTTACCAATTAATAGCTATATATGTATTTTGTTCCCAAACATAAGAATAAATCTTTACGAATTATATGTGAAAGAATTATAGTTATTTGATAAACAATTATTTTTTCATTTAGTTTTGTTTGGTATAACAACTTATTGTGATTATTTATCAAATAAAATAAAGAAAATTTTATTTTACTAATATATGCACTAAACTTCAATTTTTTTAAAAAAATTTATATATAAAATACTGGTGTCATATCGAAACTTATAAAAATTATGAATTTTGATATATTTTTTGTAAAAATTGGAATTTAAATATAAAAGCTAAATTGATATATTTTTTGTAAAAATTGGAAATTAAATATAAAAGCTACAATTCTTTAAAGAAGATTGAGATTTAGAATTTATATGGGACCCACTTAATTTCTTCACTCCATGTAGCAGCCCACCCATTCGAAGTGGGATTTCCAAAAGTCCCATGTTTTGGTACAAGAAAACACTCTCCCGTGTTTTGGCATAGGATTTGCAAAACTCCCGTATTCTTGGGAATTTCTCTAGAGCCATAACATGTGTGAATAGTAACAAAGCGTGAGCGGTGACTTTTCTTTTGTTACTCTAGTAGGGTGGCGTAACTCACGCTTAAAAAAATATAATTCACGTTGACAGAAAATGTAAGTTGACGCAATTTGATTGCAATGTAAATATTGAAAAAGTAGAGTCTAATTGTCAAATTACTTTACCTAAACTTGACTTTTCAAGTCAAAGAAGTTAAACTTTGACCAATGATATATATAGTTATACACGATACGTGATTAGTCATACTTTTATATAGTCAAAGAAGTTAAATATGTGAGCTACAAGTTTTTTCCTGTTTCAAACAGACAAGTTATACTACCTCTGTTTCCCAATCTTTGAAACAATTTGACTTGTCAAAAATTAAGGAAAAAATGTTACTAAGGGGTAAATTTTATTGTAGAGTACACTCTTTGGTACTGTTTGAACACTGTTTGGTACTGTTTGAACACTGTTTGACATCGTTTTGCACTGTTTTGGTAAAGATATGTTTACCAAATAAGGAAATAAGGAAGTGTGTCATTGATTGTGAAACAGCCAAACAAGGAAAGTGTGTCAAAGATTGTGAAACGGAGGGAATAGTTTTTTGTATGTTTTGTATTCCACAAAAACGCACGTGATTAGATTTTAGAATGTGTTTAATACATGTAAAACGCACGCTAAACAGGACATTCACGTGTCCACCTTTTAAACATTTTCTCATTTTTATCCGCTCTCACCCACCACCTTTTCGACATTTTTCTTCTTCTTTCACCCACCCTCACCAACACTCACTTTTCTATCACTAATCACTCTAATCCATTTAAAAAAATACATTTGACATAGACTGATGCTTAGTATTGTACAGAGTGAGGGTGGCAAATGAGTTGGGAGCCGGGAGTGGAAAAGGAGCTAAATTCGCTGCAATCGTATCTGTGGTACATTCGACTATCATTGGATTGATCTTTTGGGTGCTAATCCTAATATTTGACGACAAGTTGGCCCTAATTTTTTCATCGAGCAAACCTGTCCTTGAAGCTGTCAGCCACCTCTCAATTCTCCTAGCATTCACTATTCTTCTCAATAGCATTCAACCAATTCTATCAGGTTATTATTAATAAATTTAAGAACCTATTTGGTAACACTGAATCAGTCACGTTCGTTAAAACTGTTGAAATTAATTCTAGCTGAAACGCCTGAATTGACTAAATATGTTTAATTGTGAAAAATATATATTCGAAAAACGTTCTTTATTATCTGTCCTTCTAGCCTTGGGCACATGTTTTAAGAGAAAATTAAACGATAAGTGTAGAGTGTGTAGAGTAATGATAAAGTAGGAAAGAAAGTATATTAAAAAGAGTAAATTGATGATAAAGTAGGAAAGAGAGTATATTAAAAATAGTAAAATAATGATAAAGTAAGAAAGATGGTATATTAAGTAGAGTAAAATGATGATAAAGTAGGAAAGATCGAGAAAGTAGTTTGTAAAATGTAAAAGGGGTAAAAGTAATATTAAAAGTGAGAGTATTGTATCAAAAAAAATTCTAAAATAGAAAGGACATTTAATAAAAAAGAGATGAAAATGGAATAAGAGACAGATAATAAAGAACTGAGGGAGTATTTTATTAATATAATAAAAATATACTTATATGAAAAATAGCTAAATTAATCATTTTCATCAGTTTTAACTAATTCTGCTAGCAAAGATACTTCAACTTTAATCATTTTGATTAATATCAATCTCTAAGCAAAATCAATAGTACATTCAACAAAAAGTTGAGGAATAAGCGGAAAATAATGATATTATCAAACCTGTTTTAAATCAACCACCAAGTTTGAAGTAGGTTTTCCAGGAAATTATTAATGGCTTAACGTGTGTTTTTGGTGCGGGTAGCTAAAAATTACTCCCTCCGTTCCCAAAAATACTTCCCACTTTCCATTTTGGGTTGTTCCCAAAAATACTTCCCACTTTCCCATTTTGGATATTTGTGTGACTCACATTCATTTTACCTTTTTCTTACACAACCACAACCATACATTTCCACTTTATTCCACTTTCTTAATAAGCGTGCCAAGTCAAACTGGGAAGAATTTTTAGGAACGGAGGGAGTATTAGAATGCTCAGTACAGAGATTTTTATTTAACTTTTTATAGTACAAAATATTCAAATATATATATATATATATATATATATATATATATATATATATATATATATATATATAGGGGTGAGATCACCTACAAACCATGCTTAACTTACTAACCTACAAACTCAATAATATGCAACACTTTGAACTTCAATATGCAGTATATATATATATATATATATATATATATATATATATATATATATATATATATATATATATATATATATATATATATATATATATATATATATATATATATTACAGATTTTATTAAATTTGGGTTGGAACTGTATACAGATTTTTTATATAAAGCATTTTACATAAAACTGTAGATATATAATTGAAGGATATGATTTTACTAAATTTGGATTCGACCCTAGCTACACTTATGATTTGTTATGAATAGATACTTCAAAACCTCGTAGGTGTTGCTGTTGGATCTGGATGGCAAGCATATGTAGCTTACATAAATCTTGGATGCTACTATTTACTCGGACTCCCTCTTGGCATTATAATGGGATGGGTGTTTCACCAAGGCGTGATGGTAAGCATCAATCCTCAAGTATATTATAGTACTTCCTCCGTCCCAAATTGAGTTGCAAAATTAATTTTTTTGGTTCAAATAAAGTCATTTTATTCGCTTAATCAGGATCTCAATTATTAATAAAATATTAATTTGAAATTTGTAATTTTGTAGAGATTTTAATGTAGTTTCTGATAATGTAAATTTTATTTATTAAAATTTAACTATCAATAGAGAGGATTTAACTATAATATTGGTTGATAAAAAATTTTTGACTTTGCAAAACAATCTAGGAAGAAGGTAGCAGGGGCGGAGCCAGGGCACTGGGTTAGACTGGACCGGTACAAAGCTTTTTTTGAAAATTGTTTTACACGGAATTTTTTAGACTAAAAAAGACATTTTTAAAATTTGGGTTGAGCCGGGGCTGGTCCTCCCCTAGCTACGCCCCTGGAAGGTAGTTTATACTTTCTCGTTCTCAAGATCAATTCACAATTTTTCTATCTTTTTTAAGTAGTCCAAAAATAAATTTCTTATTTTTTCTAGATTGTTCATTCTTTTTTAGAAACACTACAATTACATAACTTATTGTAAGATGAATTTTACCCAAAAAAAATTGACTTGCATCTTTTTTTAAGATGAAGTTTACCAAAAAAAAAAATGACTTACATCTTTTTTTAAGATGAAATTTACCATATACTACTTCCCTCCCTTTATTAATTAGTCATTTTTAACTTTTTGTCCAACTATTTTAACTAATACGGAGTATATTTATGCAAATTTAGTAATTTGTACTTTTGTGATCATATTTTTAACAAAGAACATTTCATACCATGTTCATATTATCTTATGGATTGTAGGGATCCAAACTATATAATAAATGGAGAGATTGAGTTATAGAGAGGAAGAAGATGATGAATAGTGATGTGAGTTTTCTTGCACTTTAAAAGATTGTAGAATAGCGGTGAAAGTACGAGTATCGTCTCCACAGGGACGGACAAAATGGAATCAAGGATTAATTAAATTCAGCGATTAAAAAGGAACAAAATAAAATAAATGCGTCGTGCGAGATTGGTTGGTTGAATTAAAATTAAACTAATGTGAATGAACGATTAAAATAAAAGATTGGGTTCTCTCTAATTAACGACGAAGGGAGCAGGGATTTATTCCGGGGTAATCAGATTTCTGGCAGATCAGGCCTAATTACATGAAAATAATTTAATTGAGTCTAGCTAATCAATACTAAGTTCTTACCGCTCTCGCGGCGTAGAGTACAATAATTTAGGGGACCAGGCAGATCTCTCATGCGACAAGATTCTAAATTATTGCCAAAATGAGTGAGCTTACGGCCCCTTAATCGCTACTAATCTCTTAGCCAACGATTAAATGTGTGTGAATGTGTCCTAGAATAGACTAGATCTCTCTTAATTTATTTTATGTGCAATTGTAATTCTAGCCGTGGTTCCAGGTTACAAAAGATATCAGTTAAATTATTCAAACACAAATTAAATGGCATTCATGCAATTAAATCGAAAAGAATCTAGCCATCAATCATGATTAACCACTTCATCAATCCCAAATCCGTAATTAAACTACTCACAATTCATAATTGAAGAATCAACAGAATTGGGAAGAATAGAATAAATTGTCATTAATTAAAAAGATGAACTTACAAATAATCTCAGGGTCTTGGAAGAAAATAGCGTAAAAACGGTGTTAAATTCGTCCTTAGGCCTCTCCGTAATGTTCGTCACCCCTAAAAAGGGTTAGGGAGGCCTTATTTATAGAAAACAGGGGAAAATCACAATTCTGATCGATGTGGGAAATTTCCACGCGTAACTCAAGGTTGGGATGGCTCAACCACGGGGAAAACAGTAGATCAAGACATGCAGATTTTTGGGATGGCTCAAGCTCAGATGCAAGAATAACAGGGAGGTCTTGACTATCATCAAGAAAAGCATACTCAAGGTAGGAGGGAAGATGTTTTAGATTTAATAGAAGAATCAGTTTGACAGTCTCCCTTCTCCACCTTATCTAAATCATCTTCCTTCCCCTTCACATCACTAGCATCACTTGATTCCTCCTCTTCACTTATCATGAGACAATCAAAACTAGGGAGGAGCTCAAGATCCTCTACTAAATTCTCAGCCCCTTTCTTGTCCTTTATCTCCATGTAAAAACACTCTCCACTATCTTGACAGGGCTTCTTCATTATTTTGGACATGTCAAAGGTGGCAGACTCATCCCCAACTCGGAGGACAAGCTTACCATCTCCAACATCAATAAGTGCTTGGGCAGTTGCCAAAAATGGTCTGCCCAATATCAATGGTACCTCCCGATCCTGATCCATGTCCAAAATAACAAAGTCTACCGGAAAATTAAATTTGTCCACTTTAACCAACACGTCTTCAATAATCCCTTGGGGATATTTTACGGATTGATCAACCAACTGAATGCACATACGTGTAGGTTTAAGTGGATCAAATTAAAGTAAGAGGCATCAAATTAATGCTTGCACCCAAATCAGCCAGGACCCTATCAAAAGTAAGATCTCCTATAAAAGAAGGAATAGTAAACGAACCTGGATCCTTAAGCTTCTTCGGCAGATCTGTTCGTATCACAGCTGAGCACTCTTCATTAAGCGTCACAGTTGACGCTTCTTCCAGCCTCCTCTTGTTCGTCAATAGATCCTTCATTAACTTTGCGTACTTGGGCATTTGTGCTAGTGCATCCACGAATGGTAAGTTAATTTGCACTTGTTTCATGAGATGCAAAAACTTACCAAATTGGTCACTGTCATTCTTTCTAGTCAATCGCGTCGGATAGGGGAGAGGTGGGGTGTAATTCTTGACCGGAACGGGCTGTTCTGGTGCAGCCACCTCTTTTCCCTCATCTTTCCCTGTTTCTTCTTCACGGACAGCCGGTTCATTTTCAACTTCATCGGGCTTCTTTTTGTGGCAGCAGGTTCTAGCTCTTTTCCACTCCTCAAGGTGATTTCCTGAACATGTTGTCTTAGGTTTGGCTCGGTATTACTAGGGATGGATCCTTGAGGTCTTTCAGACATGGCTTTTGCGAGCTGCCCAATTGTATTTTCCATGTTTTGCATCCTTGTGTCCGCTTGCTGTTGACTTTGCATTTGTTGCTGCTGATATTGCAATAATTTCTTGAGTGTTTCTTCTATGCTAAAAAATCTTTGTTCAGTCTCTCTCCTGAAGCTCCCTTGCACTGGTTGAGAAGCTTGTTGCTGGCCTTGAGGTGCTTGGGGTTGATTATAGTTTCTAGACTGCTGCTGCTGATTTCCTTGCCCGTAATTTCCTTGCTGCTGTTGTCTGTAGGGCTGATTGTAGTAGCCCTGTCGCTGATAATACATCGCATCCACTTGCTCTACTCCAGGGGCTGCCGAGTGTGCCATCATAGTGCATTCATGTGGCGAATGGAGTCCCCCACACATAGTACAAGAGGGACTAAAAGGGTCGGGGGCTACCATATTAACACTAGGCACCGAGAGAGCAAGATTCATCTTTTTCCCCATATCAGACACGCTGGTTGTGAGCTTCTGCATCATGCTTGCTAATGTATCTACTCATGCAGAGAGAGCAGAATTATCACTGATCTCGTATAAGCCCGGAGCCTTTTGTTGAGGAGCACTCTTGTCGTTGTACCAAGATGCATTATTTGAAACAATCTTCTCCACTAGTTCTTCCCCCACCTCGGATGGTAGATCAGGAAAGGCTCCACCACCTGAAGCATCAAGCATCATCTTCCCTTCGTTGCCGAGTCCGCTATAGAAGTAAAAAAGAACCTCACAATCAGTCAAATTGCCCTGAGGACAAGCTCTCCTCAGCACCTTGAATCTCTTCCATGCTTCAGCTAAAGTCTCCAGAGATCCCTGTTTGAACTCTTGTAGCTGCTTCTTCAATTTTAGGGCTTTTGATGTAGGGAAATATTCTTTAATAAAGGCACTATGCAGCTGGTCCCAAGTCTGGAGGTGGTGGTGAGGATTTCTGTCCAACCACCTATGTGCATCATCCCTCAGTGAGAACGGGAAAAGCATCATTCTCACCTGATCATCAGTTAACCCAGGTATCTTGAAAGTCTGGCACATCCTCAGGAAATGGGTAATATGCGCCACTGGGTGTTCAGTAGGGCCTCCTCCAAATTGATTATTGGATACCATGCTTATCACCGCCGGCTTGATCTCGTAACGGTTGGCAGTAATTCCCGGCACTTGAGTACTATCGTACTCTGAAACGTTTGGTGTAAGGAACTCTGCAATGGTCTGGCGCTGATAGAGTGGATTGTTGTGCGCTATATATGGATTGGGTGGAGGCTCCTAATGTCTAGGCTGAGGGGCTGGTTGTGGCTGAGTAGGTGGGACTTGAGTGTGGTTTTGAAACTGATTGGGGTATGGGTTTTGGTACTGGGGCTGATTTTGGAATGTAGGTTGATTAATTGGAAGTGAGTTCTGTCTCGGTTGAAAAACGGGAATACCCTGCCCTACTCCTTGCATCCCATAAACTTGGTTTTGAAAATTGGTTTCAGGAGCAGTAGGGGTATTTTGAAAAAGATGAAATAATGGGGGGAGATTAAATTGTGGTGAAGGCTGATTTTGGGAAAAAATCGGAGTGCGGTAATTTTGAAAACCTGGAGGGTTTCTAGGTGAAATTGGTGGTGAAGATTGGGGTGATGTGTTATGATAGAAATCTGGCTGAGAAGTAGGGTTGGGGTTACTAGATGACCCTATGTTTCCAGATGAAGATTGATGGGCCATGGTAAATTTCTCTTTGTGAGCCTTGCGGTTCTGTCTGGCGAGCTTTTCAATCTCTTGATTAAGAGGGATTAATGGTTCTCCCCTCTTGGAGTGTGTATGCATAAACAGATTTGACCTGCAAGGTTAGCAGACAAAAAATCCTACGAAAAACTAATAACGAATCGCTGAGTAAAATTAACCCTTAAGACCGACACCGTCCCTGACAACGGCGCCAAAAACTGATGTGAGTTTTCTTGCACTTTAAAAGATTGTA